TATGTGCATAATATTGAGAGATTAATTATCTCAAACTAATAAGAATATAAGAATACTGATTTGATTATTTTAATATTTAATAAAAAAAAGTGCGATGATTCATATTTACGAAATATAAATTGAATAAATTTGATGCGAATACGTGTTCAATCCGTTGATTAGATTGCGATTCTTATCAGCTATCAATTTCCGCCTAAGACTCTCTGTCATTCAATCATGATTTTCACGCAAAACATTCGTGACGTTCGCGCGCAAACATTCGTTACATTTGTCACGATTATGTTTCGCTGGGAAGGGAAGGGTTTCGCGTCCCCGGCTGCGGTACACTTGGATGACTCGGGCACGTTCGACACGAGAAAAGTTCATTTATCTCCGATTCCGCGCTGACCGTGCGCGCGCGATTTATCTATCGCGTCGATCGCGAACGTGGCCGGACCTCGGAGAGTAGCCTTCCTCCCTCTGAAACAAAGGATCCCCAGCAGCCACGAAGCCACGCCTGGAACGTAAGTGGACTCGATCTCTTTCTCATTCTCTCCCGCCGAATGTGTCCCGGACTTCTCGCTTCCTCGTCCGTTTTTCTTTCGCGCGTCCAGAAAGCGTCGAGAAAGATCCACACACGGTGTTGCACGGTGTTACCCTCCGGCTCGAAAGGGGAGAGACGACGTTGCGCGAATACGCGAATACACGGAAACACCTAGTCCAAGGCACTCGGTTCGGACTGGAATTTCAACGAATCGAAAACCTCCGTGCCGCACGAAGAGAAACGTGTGATTCTTCGTGCCGAGAAACGGACGATTATCCTCGGCGTTTAGATACCGAGAAGTGCGGAAAGGGTGCGAGGAAGCACGGGCTTGTCTCTTCCAAGAAACTCCAGTCACGTTCGCCACGTTCGATATAATATCGTCGTGCACGCGATCTAGAAAACGGGAGAGATTCTCCAGATGGTACGAAAAAGCCCTCGATCTGCCCTGATCTCGTCCGCGTTGATCGAGGGCTGTAAGAGTAGATCAATGCGGACACTGTTTCGTTCCACGTTATTGAATCAATGAGAACTCACGGGGGGGGGGGTTTTACGTTAAATAAAAAATAAATTCGGATTACTTCACTGCGAATAAAATAACAAACAATGAGTAATAAATGAGTAAAACGTTGAAATGTATTCATCGCGTCATCATAGAAATTATACGCGAAAGAAAGTAAGGAGAAAGGCAGAAAATTAAATTGCGGAGTCGACGTGCAGCTTTGAAGTGGCTTGGTATGTCTGACCCAAATAAATCCAATTTGCATGTGCTAAAGTTAACGAATTAACACTTAAATAATTCCGTGTATTTTCATCATTTTACGATGCTGTTTTACTACAGAATATGTATATGCAAATGAGTTTTTCAAATAAAATAACGTGAAAGTGGTTTAATCTCTAACCGCAAAATCCATAGAGACCCATTGAAATTTCAATGTCGCATAATTCTTTCGTTTGAAAGGCTACTTTCTTTTCACATCCTGTAATTCCGTATTCGGTATATGCTATAATAAATATTAACCGCATGTTTATCATATATATGTCAAAGATTGTAAAATACTACCGTAATAAACTATTGTTAAGTTTTAACTTGGCAATGCAAAATGGTCTATACGCCTTTGTATAGATTTTAACATCATGTAATTTATTCGATCCTTTTAAGCAATTTCTCTTCTTTCAGATTTAAAAGCGTGATGCACCAGAAATAATTAAGTTCACTTACAGTAGCACGAATCAAGATTAAAAGAATCACATAAAAGAAGAGAATCATCAGTTTTCTCTAATATGTAAAAGGCAGTTAATTTTCAAGGTAATAATTTTTCAAAAAGATTACATCAATTACAAAATCAAATTATACAAGGTAAACTTGATTTGGTTATTAATGTTGATAAATCCTATATACTATGGCATTTTATAACAAAACATTTTACTGAAAGTTCTTGACAAAAAAATCTTACAAATTTTTTTCGGCTCCCGCGTTAATTCAAGCATTGACAACTGCAACTCTACATTTTGCAGCGGGAATTTTACCAAGTCCGATTTAAGTCTGTGCATAAAATGATATTGAAGGAGGCAACGATAAATGTCATCTCTACTGTGGAAGTTCAAGAGCTGTGTTTCTCCGTGTGACGTAGATGAAACGCGAGCCGGGAAAGCTCGCCTTTTCAAACTTGCACTCGGGTCGGCGAGTTAATTGAAATAAAAAGGGCACACCGAGGGGAGACCGTGTCCGCTCGTCTCGTCGTTCTTAATTGGCGACGGCACGGTCGACTTACATCGCTAATTTCGCCAACGTCGAGGTTCTTCGTATCCGAGCCGGAGCCGTTGGCGTCGGGCGGCGGCCCGGAACTCGCGGGGGTCCACGGCGCGGAAATGGTGTCGGCTGCAGCCACCGCACTGCCTGCAACAAACGAGGGACAAGCCCGGTTTATTAACTTCTCTTGGAAAAATCCCAGCTTTCAGCCGCGCTCGCAGTCCAGTTTCGTAAAATAAATTTACGAGAATGACCTGGATTTATTTTGCGAAGCAGAAAGCAATAACCATAAATAAGCTTCTCGTAAAAGTTGCGTTTTTTTTTTAACATCGTGTTCGTGGCATCAGAAGAACAGCGTTGAAGTATAAGTGAGAGTGACGTACAATGAAAATAAAAATTAGAGATATATATTAGAGTAGTATAGAATAATATACAGGGAATAATACAAGGAAAGAGTAGGAAAAAGTGATGACTATATTATGCTTTTTGGTAGTAAAAAGTGTTTTGAAGTATATGTAATTGTAATATTGGCAATAATAATAAGAGTAATAAGTCAGAAATCATGAAGCTTCTCGATTTACAGTAAAAATTGTCCGCAATTCCAAAACCATTACAGTATTCTCTTTCAAGACATCCTACATGTATATTCCCAATTTTACATGCATTATTATTGTTTATAATAACCTTCGTTGTAGTACTATAAACTAATTTTACTTGTTACCGTGCAACGAATTCGTTTTTGACAGTAGATAATATTATCTACTGTCGAATTAGACGCATGGAAAATGGACAGAGAGCGTGCAGGGGGTATGCTGCGCGTGGGAAGGGTAGTGGCGGAAAAATCAGCACGTGAAAAATCGTGGATGGGGAGAGGTAAAAGGGAGGTAAACGCGGTACTCCGTCGTTGCTGTACGCTCGTCGGCGCAACAAGTGTTCGCTGATATCGCGTATCAGTGCCACGACGGCGGGTGGGGGTAGCTTGTAGGCGGTACACTCCGCCTACCGGGGGTGGAGTGTGTATGTTAAGCCCCCGGAAAAGACCCCTATTCCCCGGCTGGGTTCGTACCGCCGGCGGCGGTGCAAATCCCGATCCGTAGCAACAACCAGCCCCGAGCCAAAAGCCGAACGTGCCCCCGCCGTATAGTTGGCCCCTTTCTCTTCCTCACCCTCCCCCGCCCTCCCCCCCTCCCCTCGTGGCATTCGTCGCGATGACGAAATTCATCGGAGAATCATTCGTGGAAGCTTGCGCGCATGTGCCAGCCATTCCACGGCTCTCGGAGAATCAAGAGACGAGACGGATAATTGTTAATTATACGCAGATATTCGTGTTACGCGCTCCACTTTATGCATTTCGGGGAAAGGTGAAGGGAGGGAAAGCTGGGAATTGTTCGATTTAGTGGGCCACCCGCGCGGGTGAGTAGCGTCGCTGGTTATTGAGCGTCTTTTTGCAAAGAGCAAGCCAGCAATGAATGTTTCCGTGGAAAATTATCGCATAAAACTTTATTTATTATTATTAATATTACTAAATAGAACTGTAATTAGAAATGTTATTAAGTGTGTAGTATTTTGCAAGATATATGTGTTTCACCTTTTATTTAAAATTAAAATTTGTTTTTAATTATTCTTAAAAAAGCAAAATGTTAAACAAGGCGATAAATGTTACAATGTTTCTTAAACATAAATTAAACTATTTTTACAAGGTATATTCGGAATTGAAGAAATAATTGGATAAAGAAAATACGTCACGTAGATATTTTTCAGAAGAGTTACCATTACACTTAAATTTGATATATTTCCTTCATCTAAGTTCATGTTTTATTTTACTATAAAAAAATCGTATTCTTCACTATCCCCCCTCAATATCATCTATCATTCGTGCATTAAAAAATATATCACTTTTCATTTCCTGATATTATTCCTAAAATACATACAGTTTCAAAATATGCCACTGTTTTTTCTGATTTTGACCGAGTGGGCGAAACAGTAACGTTTGCGGCGCTACGTGTAAAGATACACGAGCTAACCCTCGGCGATATATACGGTTTCTCTTGAAAATGTACGTAGTGAACCGCAATCATCCGGCGGGTGGTCACGGCTACCGGTGAACATGCAGGCGGAAAATGAGCGGTAGCTTAATAGAGACGCGAGATGCGATCGCGTACTCGCACGCGTGCACACATACAATTACACACACACACCACACACGCACACACGCGCGCGCGCGCGCGCGCGCGCGCGCACGCATAATGCGAATACGACATGCACGTGGCACATGAGCTCATACTAGATCGAGCGCGCGACGCCAGAATGGCAGAAGACATAGATCATGGCCGATGACGTATGATTGCATTCGGTGCTCTTGCCGGCAGCGAAGAAGGGGAGGGGGAGGGAAGAGAGAGGAGAGAGTCGAGGTTACCCAGGGGATGGAAATGTTCGGATGAAGGATAGGGTATGACCAGGCCGACCGTGATAGGGTGTAGGAACTTCGAGAGGGTGGACGGCTCTCGCCGGCGAAACCTCGGAATGTTCTGGCCACTACTACGATCGCGAACGTATACATCCTTCTCCATTATCCGCGTCGCCCGGTGCCAGATATTACGGTGCTAGATTTCCCGGCCCTCGTTGAGTAATGATCGAGTCGCGACAAATTTTCGGCCCGCAAAGAGGGAGACGGTGGTGAGGACGCGCGTCGGTCGAATACGCCGGATTATTCAGTAGATACTTAGATCTCCACCAAGAGCCAATACTTAAGACGGCATTCGATTAATTTTATACAATGATACACATAATTTTTAGAATAATATTAATTTCTTTGTATTTGCAGAGTTTTTCTTAATGTTCGAGAAACATTTTGAATATCATATCTCAAGCATCAATTTATTTATCGTAATAATTAAAATAAGTAGAAAATAAGTACAACGAGATAATCTGTCTTAAATAAATATATACATCTTTATATTTTTTTCACGAATATAATTGCAGTTACTATATATTTTACTAGTCTATCTTCCTTTATCAAGATTTGCTTCAAAAATCAGATCTACTTCTAATACTCTATTTTAAAAAACAATCAGCAATATACAACAACAAAATAAAATTTGTTAAAGTCATAATACAATAATTAATACAGTCGTTAAATTATCGATATCTGATAAAGGTTTTACTGAAATGAGAATTGCATGTAATGTAGGACACTCAACGTGTGGAAATTACGAAGATGGTGCATCGAATGAAGGAACTTTCAAGAGACAGAGGCGAATGTTTCGGAACGTTTCGTGGACATTCGCGAGAATAGGATCTCCACGTCCATCTTTCGACCCGTGTTTGTGAGTTTAATTCTGCACTACATTAGTGTGTAGTGAATCCTCGAGGTTTCTAGAAACTCAACACCGTATAATTCTCCTTAAGTACAGGGTTATTTATTTATTTCGTTTTCAAGATAATCTAAATACTTTTAATGTAGAGTTGGATAAAAATATCGAAGTGTCTTCCCGTGGAATTCCCTTGAAATATTGAAAAACGTTGTAAAAAGAACGCGAATAAGAAATGTGGAAAAACAAAATGTGAATAATTTTTTGGCATTATCTATGTACCCCGAAAAATATTAAAATGAAAAAAATATTAAAAGTCACGCGAATCTCGAGAACTCAATACACAATTTTTTTCCAAATTTCAAATGAGCTTCTCGACGAATTCGTCACAGCGGAGACGCAAGAGAAATGTCCTTGCACGTTTTACCCTTGAGCCACATACAAGTGCATGTATCAGTTGCAGGGAACTCCACGGGGTGTGATAGTAAATGTCGTGGTTCGTGGACAGTAGTAGGTGGTAGTGGCACTGGCTAAGCTGTAAATTTGGCGTATAACCATTCGGAGATGGCCCTGGTCGAGTAGGCCAGGTCTGTCCTCCGTCTCTATCTATCTCTCTCCTCCTCGTCCCGCTTTTCGAAGGTAGTCGGCGAGGGGACGGGCGACGGGCAGGGGGTGAGACAGGAGACGGGGGTCGTAGAAGCATTCATAGCAGGAACCAGAGGGTGGCTTCGGTGGAATGCGTCCCGTTTAATATCGCGGAACATTATATATCGCCTCTCTTGTCCCTACGTTGCCCGTGTTGAACGCGGTATAACGCGTGCGAATACACCCTCGTCGGCGCACACGCACACACACACATACACACACACACACACACACACACACACACACACACACACACACACACATGTGCGCGACACACACCCGCCACTTATTCGCCACCGCGCATTTGATTACACACTCGCGAGTTCTCCGAGATCTTTTCATAACACCGGCGAATCATCCGCGAAGCGTTGATAGAGTTATTTATTACTAATTGCACGAACGTGGAAAGATCCGATTTAGTTCGCCGGCTACTTCCTGCTATCCTGTAATCCTCTTAAATAAGTCTAAAAAAGACGCATTGACTTAATATTATGAGAAAATGTGTAACTTAATACACAAAAGTTTCGGAAACATGATTAAAATTGAAATGACCCGCAAGCGAGCGAATGTAAGCTAAATCTATTTCCCTTTTTAAAATTAATGGAAATTCTAAAAACAGTTTTTCCGAGTTTACTCGAATTTAATTGAAAAACCGTGTCCTCTTTGTTATTTGTTAAAAAATCTATTTGTTGAAATTTTTCTATCTTTAATTGCTTTTAACAAAAAAAAAACCTATTAAAACCTCCAAGTTTTTTATCAAAGAATGGTCGACCTTAAACAGTTCCAAGAATTCAAGAAAAGAAGACTCAAACACACGCCGCTTATATTTCAACGTACTTGGCAGCAAATATTGTCAGAGACGACAAAATTGCTGTAACGTCAGAAAATTACCGTAACATCGCTTCGTGGACACAGAAAATTATGTTACAACAGCGACGAAACTATAAGCACTTTTATATCGTCGTAACGAGATTTAACTCCCATGCCGGAATTTCCGGGAAAAATTAATTATCATCTCGATGCCGGTTCGCGAGTTACCGTGCCGTAAAATTTATTAAGAGACGACGCGCCCGCCCGTCCTCCTGGCCTTTTATGCGAGCCACCATTAAGAATTCTAATCGGTTCTGGCACGAGCCACGTCTCGATATTATCGAACGATTATACGCGGCGCTGTCACGGCAAGGTAAAAGGTTCGTGAGAGCCCGCGCTCGCGATATAGTCGACTTTATAAATCGACCGCGACGAATCGGTCTTAATCGCCGCGCCCGCTTGTTGCACAGCTTAGATAAAATAAATCGCGTTAAACAGCGTAAAGGCACGAGCCATTGAGATGACGATCACCCACGAAATTGTTGCGCCGCGCTGACGCAAGATGATTAAGTGGAAATGGATGCTTAGATTTATCGAGAGTAATTATTTTTAATTCAATTGTGGTTCAGTGAATTTTCAATATTTGGAGGAAAATCATTGCAAAGTTGCATAAGTATTTCTAAAATAACTATCTAAAAATAATTATCATTTATAAATAATTTCTAAGGTAATTATAAAAATTTATTTTTCATGTCATTCTAAATTGTACCAAACGTTTAGAAATGACAATGGATAATTTCATAACTGCATGTATCTCTCATTTTTGTACATTACTATGCTGATTAGTGAAAATTCAAACTATCAATTTTACCGATAGTAGAAATAACAAGTTCCCGTGTCAAGCTGTTCAATTTCTTTGTCGTCGGGCGAACGATGAAAAACTCGCCCGGCAGCCACAGGTGCGCGTTTATTCGAGACGCGCACGACGAAAGTGATTAATCTCCGCATGGTTCAATGAAAAACAGATCTCGCGATTCGCTCGTATCGCGCTCTCGTAGATACGTATTCACTCGTGCGAGAACCACCCAAGTGCGGTGAATCATCTATCTACCCCGTATTTGGAGCTGAAGCGATTGAAAAGAAAAGCAGAGTACGCGGCGCAGTGATGCGCGGC